GAACACAGAAGAGACATCAATTACTACCGCTGCATGATTGAACCATGTGCTACTTGTCACAACGCCCTAAATGATGAACTTAATAACCCCAGTTTTAAACCTTTTAGATCATGTGTAAAGGCAACACAGTCAAGTCCGGTACACATACTCAGCTCCACAACTACGTTCGAGAAGAGAACACTACCACAATCGCAACACCCGCCACTACCATTCGACCAACCAAAGTAACAGTTAATGTCACTAACGCTACCCTCCAACGCACCAACGATACCATCCGAACAAAAGTACATAGGTTAATCCTCCCTGATTGGGGATGGTGGAGACCTAAGCCAATCCCAGTCAAGAAACTGAACGAAAGACCAGTTGTTGAGAAGTTTGACATCAAATTTCCTGTAACCATGGAGATGGTGCCATCGTGTCGGATGATGGTATATTATGTGAGAGAAGACAAAGAGGTTGTGGCTGATAGTGTCGACTTTGATGTGGAGGATAGATTGGAGAATCAGGTTAGGGTTATAAAGTAGGCGGCTGTGTGGAGGGGGTGGGGGGTTATAAAGTAGACCAGGTTGAGGAAAAATAACTTTGTTTGAGAGTTTTGAGTGGAGGAAGGAGAGCAGAATTTATATTTCAAGTACTAAACAAAGTAATTGACGGTATTACTAACGTTGCACCATCTAAAAGAGAAGATACGAGAATTTAACTTTATATAATTTTAATTTGCCAGGTATCAGTGAGTTTTAAGGATGACGAACGTAAACCAGGAGAAGAAACGAACTTGATCTTGAAAGCTACACCCAGATCACGTGTTGCCTTCGTGGCTGTGGATAAGAGCATTCATCTCTTGAAGGCTGGGAACGAGTTGACAAAAGAAAAGGTTTGTACAGATGTTGTCATGTTGTCTAGAAGCGTGGCATATAAACATGAATAGAGGAGTCATCGCCCACAAGAATATCTTGAGTATCTTGGCCGATGACTTTAATTGAGTTTTATTGAGTTTCTCACTCATTGGTGAGTGGATTTCCAAATAGGCTATTGCCTAATTGATAGGGGATCCGTAGCTACAATTTCAACGTCCTTCAGTGGTGGAAATCTCGGTGGGGCGGGGGGGGGGCGACCGCCCTCCTCCCCCCACCTTCACGGAAAATTACGAATTTTCGGAAATTTTGACCTAAAAGAGGGTTAAAAACAGCCTTTTCGAGTGAAATTTGAAAGTTTGTCGGAAATCTAGGAGGCTTTGCCCCCCCCCCACCCCCCGGAAAAAGTGAATTTCCACCACTGACGTCCTTATCCAAGAAGACGCGAAAGTCTAACTGTTTACTGTAAATGTCAATGTAAAAGTAGCACTTTCTCTTCAATTATTTTAAGACCTTGAGTAGAGGTCCAACGAAGGATTGAGCCCAGGTCTCCTAGCTGGAAAGGCGAGCGTGGTAACCACGACACCACAAGACTTGAGTACATAAGAAACCACGTGGCGATGACGACAGTCCTGATAACCACACTTGACTGGAGCGTCGAAACGTTGGGTCGTGAATGTAATTTATTCGAGGATTACACTCATTTACTTCAACAAAAGTAGCAAAACATGTCTGTATATGATTACTTGGGAACTCGCAAACTTCAAATTTCGTGTCTTTTTTCAGATACTTCCATACCTACGAACGTACCAACAAAGAGCTTATAATTCCAACCCGAAATGTCGTAACTCGTGGAATCCCTGGTGGAGAGGCAAACGTAGCATTGCACCATTCCCCTGGGGAGATAGCTCTGGTTACGACGATGCTTCTGAGGCTTTCAATGTAAGTCTTGTGCATTTGATGTACATGATTTAGTACGGACACTCTCTAATACGCACACCTCTCAACTACGGACACCTTTTTAATACGGACATTTCTCTCTAATACAAACATCTCTCTACTAATGCCACCTCTCTAATACGGGCATCTCTCTAATACAGACATCTCTCCAATACACACACCTCTCTAATACACACACCTCTCTAATACATACACCTCTCTAATACAAACATCTCTCTCCTAATGCCACCTCTCTAATACGGGCATCTCTCTAATACAGACATCTCTCCAATACACACACCTCTCTAATACACACACCTCTCTAATACATACACCTCTCTAATACAGACACCTCTCTAATACGAACATCTCTCTAATACAGAGACCTCTATAATACAGTTATACGGACACCTTTCTAATGCCAAAATCTCTTTTATACAAACTCCTCTCTAATACTGACACCAGTCATCTCTAATAAGGACACCTCTCTAAAATATACAAAACGCTCTAATACAGACATCTCTCTAATACAGAAACCTACCAAAATCTCTTTTATACAAACTCTCCTCTAATACTGACACCAGTCATCTCTAATAAGGACGTCTCTCTAAAATATACAAAACGCTCTAATACAGACATCTCCCTATGTCACGTTCTAGGTTGCAGGACTAATATTCTTATCAGATCTGTCTATTTTCACTAAACCTTGTCCCAGACCTCGTCCCGTTCCAGTAGTGATGGAAATGATGGTTGACGATGACGGTATATATTATACTTTGTATGTTTTGCAGAATATTGGGGTTTTATTCATATCCAGTTTAAATATCAATACAAAACCGTGCCCCAAGCCACCACCGTTGTCCAGTATTTCTGGCTCTGGTTTTATTCCAAATGGTATGCAGTTGTTTGTTTGTTTGTTTGTTTGTTTGTTTGTTTGTTTGTTTGTTTGTTTGTTTGTTTGTTTGTTTGTTTGTTTGTTTGTTTGTTTGTTTGTTTGTTTGTTCACTTCTATCGCAATTATTACACCGGCATTTTGCAAAATACAAAATATCACGTATATTACCGTCATCTTCAACGCACAACCATTTTCGCGAATGGAAGAGGTTTCTGGAAAGGGTTTCCTGAAAATAGACAGATTTACTTATTTACATGGAAACATCACTTATATTTATTTCGTAGTGATTCTGGTTAAGTTTAATTTGGGTTATACCAACGGGTAATTTAAGAAAGCTTGAAAAAATCACTATCTTGTGAAGTGGTGGACGAATTTGTGAGTGGTTCCGCATTCCTCCTATCCCGCACGAGCTTCACAGTCACGGAGTTATCAGTGTTCACCAAAAATATCTCATTGTAGGTAGCTGGTCTGGTTTTCTTATCAACGCTGTCCATTTTCACGAAACCTTGTCCAAAACCTTATGTACCGGTATACAAGTTATCGTTTGGCACAGGCGGTGGACTATTTCCGGGTAATATACATTATAGTCTGCATATTTTGTAGAATGCTGGTGCAATATTTATATCAAGCTTAAACATTTATACAAAACCTTGTCCAAAGCCACAGGAATTTGAACATTTGTCACTACTGCGCGGTATGAATATTGTTGTTTGGTTGCTTGTTTTTTTTTTTTCAGTGGCATAACTTAATTTATATTTTTTTGCATTTGTAAATTCTGAACGCTGGTTGGGGAAGAGCCGTGTTGACATAACTCAACACGGAAAATTTCTTTCTTTATATTTCTTTGTGCTATATTAAAAAAAATATATATAACATTTTTTCGTATTGATATACAGTCATATCAACACTTGTGGAAATTGGGAAAACTCGAAATTGTGTGAAAACACTCGGCAATTGCTAGATAGTATACTTCAAAGTAAGGTTCCGTTTTTATATCAATTTTTAAAATAAGTTAGGGTTAGATAAGGGTTAGTATTAGAGCTAGGGCTTAGTTTTGCGTTATAAATTTTTTCTACGTTATAAAAAGGAAACCTTATTTTGAAGTATACTATCTAGCAATCACCCACAGAAAATATCCAATATAAATAAAGTTAGTTTAGTTAGGTTTCCTCCTGTAGTAACACTGGATCAATAAGAGATGATCTTTACTGGTCCTCTAGGGAGAACAGTTTAGAACTGATAGAGTTATCCAGTATAAATAAAGTTAGTTTAGTTTAGGTTTCCGCCTGTAGTAATACTGATCAATAAAAGATAATCCTTATTGAATCTCTAGAGAGAACAGTTTAGAACTGATAGAGCTATCCAGTATCAAATATAAATAAAAAGTGTACGAGAAAAAAAAATCATGTGATTTATTTGTGATTTTTTTTATTTTTCATGTATTTTTTTTCAATTTTTTTCAAAACCTTTTTTCCCATTCTCTTTTAAAATTACTCCTAAAAAGTGTATGACATAAAAAAATCATGTAATTTGTGATTTGCCCCTCCATTCAAACTTGGAGAATATATGTTAACTGTTCGTGTTTTTCAGTAAGATATGCGATGAGAGTGCATAGGAAATTCATTCTCTGTTTTCTATTGATATTAAAGGTGGTGTAGGTCTTCCAGGGCCAGGCAGAAGCAGAATTTCTGGACCAAGGCCAGACAATAGAAATGTGAATAGACAGAAAGAGACAGAAAAGAAGAAAGAAAAGCCAGTCCGAATACGTAAAGAATTCCCTGAAACTTGGTTATGGGCAGACGAAAAACTAGAGTAAGTATGATGGCTCTCACATGGCCAGATGATCTTCATACGCGGAAAAGTACTGGCACTAGTTGTCATATAGAAATCCATTTTATGATTAAAACAACTGAATATCTCCTGTAATATACTTTATTTCGATTCCATATTTTTGTCAGAGCTATAGTTCTCATAACCAAACATAATTACATAATTTCAACTAGTTTCATAAAGAATAACGAAAAATATAATTGACAGAATACATCAAAATGGATTTCTATTCGGACAACTCTTTCTGAGCGCTGATTGGCTAAAATACGAACACGAGATCACCTGGGCTGTTCGGTGTTCAACCTTCCCAGTGACAAAAAGGGAAAGCCCTGGGAACGAGGTTGTTCGGTGTTATGAAATTTGACGAGGATTATGAAATATTAGCAAATTCATTGGGGCTGGAACGTTTGTAATTGGCCGATTCACAATGAGCAACTTTTGCCTAAAACTATCGCATGCAACCTGCTTACAACTTGAGTTGTACCGTGGATTATTAATGGTCTATTAATAATCTATGGTTGTCCTGTGTAAATCAAGCTCACAACTCGTCTACGTTGGACTTGTCCCAACAGGACTTGACCTAATTAGACTTTCCTGTCTTTCCTCATACGACCGAGATATAAACTGTACATTGCAAGAATCGTATCCGAATGTCAAAGACACATTTACTAGCTACTGTGGCATATCAATGAATTATGTTACTCAGGGACGCTAGAACTTGGGGGGGGGGGGGGCAGCTGCCCCTCTTGCCTTTTGCTAGGAGGGGCAAGGGGGGCAGAAGTGCCCTTTGAGTTATAAAAATACTACCTGATGTGATCTTGAATACGACCTGATTAAGTGCGTTTGCTTTCATTGGCAAGTCAACACATTATTGTAGGTTTATATCTTCACTGGGGTCTATAGAGGTGCCCTTTGGTGTGCGTTTGCCCCCCTTGCCTTTTTATCGTCCCGGCGTCCCTGATGTTATTCTTTTACGCACTGCCAAACAAGCATGAAAAACCAGGTCATTGATTTCAGGTTTGATGTTGTCATTATTTTCTAATATTTTCCCTTAACAGCAGGGGCAGTTAGCTAAGCTTAGAAATACCTAATTATAATATTTTAAAATAAAATTATTTTACAAAGAGCAAATTAAAACGCGTGGCTGTTCACTTCTATTAGAAGCGAGAATTAAAGAGAAAATTAACAACCTGAGAGGCAATAAGCAGGGTTTGGAATTCCCCTTATATAAACACAGAATAAGGCATGACAAACTCTTTAAAATAAGAGTCTTTACATAATGTGGTTTCGCCTGGAAGGTTGATTTCGATGTATTAAATAAGAGATTGGAAAAATTAGAATATGCATATCAAAATGTTGAATTGTTCAATCATCACTTGAATTAATATGCAAACGGTTGATTCGCTTAAATTCGAAAATAGATTCCCTTAATATAAGTGTACCTTCCTTTATTTTGCTTTACAAATTGAGTAGACTAAATTTAATATACCGGTACAAAAATCACTTAATGACAGTCTTGTTAAGTGAAACGCAGAGTACTTTTAATATGCACAAGGGCGGATTTTCATTTTTTCTAAAGGAGGGGTGCAAGCGGCACCACTGAGCGAGCTTCGGCAGGGAATAGGCGTAGGGTTAAAGACTTTCACACAAAATAGGAGGGATGAAGCGAAATTTTGGTGAAGTTGAACACTTTAAAAGGTTAGAGAAATTCTAAGGGGGTTTATTACCCCCCTTCCAAACCCCCAGTAAATCCGCCCATGGATATGACTCAACTACAGTTCACTCCGATACAGAACGCATCGTTTGGATCCGCGTTTTTCGCTTGCACATACATGACTTATTTACATACATCAAAATTAACCTGTATATATCATTCTATCCTGGCAAACCTAACACAGGATATTTAGGTGTTACATCTCATGCCTTAAACCGTTTCAGAATTTTTCTGCATACTTTGTTTATATTGAAATATTATTCTAATAATGAGCAGTTATTTCTCCGCCTAAATGACCTTCTTTCTTGTGCGATTTTCCTGGTGCTTTGAATGTGGTCCCTTCACCATCACTGGACGACGCTGAACTTGATCTACCGCGACGGTTCTCCTGAAAAATAGTGTTGTTGTTTTTAATACTTAGGGGGTAGTTGAGTGTTTCTATTAAATATACAAAACGTTAATACATGATGTGGTGATGATGGTATTGGTGATGATGGTATTGGTGATGGTAGTGATGATGATGGTATTGGTGATGATGGTAGTGGTGATGATAGTGGTGGTGATGATGGTATTGGTGATGATGGTGGTGGTGATGACGGTATTGGTGATGATGACGGTGGTGGTGATGATGGTATTGGTGATCATGATGGTGATGGTGATGATTGATGATGGGTGATGATTGTGATGAATTGATAATGGCGGTGGTCCCCTTTATCAGTTAAAACGTATTGTTTTGATGAAAGGTTTCTGATGATTCCCAAAACCTTTGGATTATCTGGGGCGAAATTTTAAACTTTCGAAAAAATGGTCGAAAACCAATGCCAGTGGTCTTACCTTTGCACAGGACAAAATTAAAAAAAAAAATAAAAGTATGTTTTTTATCAAACCAGTGGCGGTTGTGAAAGGTGAATAGTTAACTGTGTAACAAAGCTGTGACAATCCTTTTTGAATGATGAAAGCATGGTAGGCTAGAAGAAGAAAGATTTCCAGCAACAGAAGGTGGTCATATAGCGAAGTGTCTATTAGAACGCATTGTTTCGACCATTTCCAGGCCAAATGAGCATTTCTAGCTCTTCATACTCACCAACCTCAGTATGATCACCATTCGTTAAAACTCTACTACTTTGTGACGTCTTGACGACCGTCGTCGTTGTCTTTTGACTTTTGGTTGAAGTATATCTTGCACTTTTCACGACTTGTTCACCTTGAACGACATTGCCGTCGGAGTGATCATGTTGAACTACAGTTGTTTGTTGCCGAGTTTCCGATATATCTTCGTTAGATTCTCGGGTATTGCGGCCGCTAGAAACACAGATACACGTTGAGTGCATTATATACACACGTGAAAATCTCACAACTTGTCAACAACATGTGTTCGTTGCGTTGCTGTTGCAAGCTTGTCGACAAGTTGTAACAATGCTGTTATTTTATCAAGTTGCTACAAGGTTGTCACTCACAACTTGTTGACGAATTGTTGAATTGCAGGACGATAATAATTTGTTTGTTGGAACAACTTGTAACAAATCATACTCTGTCGAGCTCAACAACCTTGTTGCAAGTTGTCAACAAACCAGAGTAACATCACAAACATCATATTCACCTGAGTACATAACAGCAACACACACAAAAAACCTTGACAACTTGTCAACAAGCTGTGCGAACACACCCTGTTGACAAGTTGTTGGAACGGTATTGCTACAAGTCCGCTGCAGGTTTGTTACAACTTGTGCGTTTTTCCTATGTATATGGCGCCATTTATGTCGAATTGAAACAGTAATTAAGATCTACAGGCATGACTTACCCGATATTGGCATTATCTTCGCCATCAGCGGATCTTTCTTCTCGATCTGGTGAACTATCCTTCTCTTCTTCAGAATCCTGACCTCGCATGCCAGGGAGATTAAGAACACATTCTGGACGAAGTCTGAACAATACATCAATACAAAATCAGTTTCAACCACTGTTAATAACTGACATTCAAAAAAAAAACTGTGGCATTCTTTTCAATAGTTTGTGGTTATGGAAGAAAGTTGCAGTTCTAGGAAAACTACGTTAAAACAACAATAGTAGACATTACAAACAGGAAAATGCGAGTTAGATAAGAGATTGGCAAACTGACTCGAAGTCCCAACAAGGTAAACCCCGTACGTTAATTACAACTAATTTTACACAGGACAGCAAAATACACATAAAAACTCTCTAAATACTACTGAGCATCATACACCATTTTCAACATCTAAGGCTAGTTTCGAAACTCTAACTTTCATCATTTTACTTTAATGAGATCGAGCAATAAAACTATGTACTTACTCTTGTGATGAAGCTAAGGTAAATCTTTGTAATTCGGACGGTGAACGTAAATAAAAACCTTGTCCAAGTCTTGTAAACAACAGAGACTGTATTCCCAGCAGATCTTCACGTTTGATACAATTGACTTTGAGTTGTTGTCTCAAACTAGGCAAGGCGAATACATTGAGGTCGCCCTGGTTGTTTAGACATCCCAGGCAGTAGTAGGTTTCGTCTGAATCACCTGCAAGAATGATTCATTAATTCAGCCTTTTGAATTATGATTTTTAAGGCGCGCATTTCAAAACTAACTCGGAAAACCAATTTAAGCGTAATTCAAGATCAGCAAACTTTTTTATAGATCGGAAGAAACATTGACTTCACCGATAAGCTATTTAACGTCGACTTCATTATGATAATCTATTTAACGTCGTTTACACAGGGTGTGGCAAGGATTGATTTCCTGGGAGGTGGGTGGTTGTGGGCCACACTCCTTCAAAGGTTGGGGGTGGTGGTTGTACACCTGTATATTTTATTTTTGTAGAGGTAGCCAATCGTCAAATGGAGCTGGGCTATGTCACATTCTCGTACCCAGATCCCGTCTTACACGCGGTCAACAGAGCATGACAATGGTCGTGGGAACGAGAATGGGTACCTAGCTCCTAAATTACTTTTGGAGTTAAAGTAGCTCCAAATAATTTTTGGAGTTAGCCAAGTAACTTCAGACTTAGATACCTAGCTCCTAAATGATTTTTGGAGTTAGCCAGTAACCCACAATTCATATTTCAACTCAATTTTGAATTACACAAGTTACTCAAGTGTATCTTCTGGTTTGGAGTTAGACCTTTAGACTTTGGACGCTGTGTCGCTCCATAACGTCCTACAGGCATGAGTAGTTGTGTAAGAAACGAACAGCTCGAACACAACTTGGTATCAACATATTGGAATCCTACCTTGTGGATTTCTTAGCGAGATGACTCCGAGTTTTCGGACTTTAGATCCATCTATGGCGGTCAATTTTTCTTTGTGTTTTACTCGAAGTTGCGGGAGTGATAGAACTTTGAATTGCTCTTCGGAACATATGATCATTGAATGATTGCCACTCATATCAGCGGCTGAAATAAGAATAAATGTTCTTAGCGGTATTGTTTTTTGTCCTGAGCAGGGAGGGAATGGAAAAAAACTAAACTATCTTTGTTTATACTGGGTGTAGCTCTATCAGTTCTACACTGTTCTTTCTAAAAGTGCAGTAAGGATCCTCCCTTAGTGTTACTACAAAAGAAACTAGACTAACTTTATTTATACTAAATAGTTCTATGTCTTCTAAACTGTTCTTCCTACAGGTCCAGTAAGGATCATCTCTTATTGATTCAGTGTTACTACAAGAGGAAACCTAAACTAAACTAACTTTATTTATACTGGATAGTTCTATCAGTTCTAAACTGTTCTTCCTATAGAGGTCCAGTAAGGATCATCTCTTATTGATCCAGTATTACTACAGAAGGAAACCTAAACCGAGTCAAACTGGAAGAATTCCCCTGGCTGACCAATGTTTGACAAAACAATTAAAATTAAGTTAACCATAAATCTCGCCACTCACCTTTCTCCTGAGCACTTTCGATTAAATCTTCCTGAACAGGGTTGCCATCCTTGTCGACAACAAACATGGTGATAACAGGAGCATTGTGTTTGAGATGTATTTCAGGTTTCTTGGGATACGCCTGAACACTGTGGCTACGGCGTTGACCGTCTGGAGGGAGTTCAATGGTATACGGATATATGTGACCGGAGTTTGTACCCACCCATAGCGAGGGACCGTGATGCATACCTAGACAAAACAATGAATTCAATTAACGGACGGAAAGGTAAAGGTTTGGCCTGGGTAGAGCCTGAAATAACGGTCGGACATCGGATATCTCCAAATGCTAAATTAATCGGAAATATTGTCGCGATAAAGTGAGACTTCATGAATGACTTATTTAACCAAATGAACAAACTTTCTTTGGTAGGGATGCAACTATCTGAAATTATATAAGACGAATTTCGACGTTTCGAGCCAAGGCCCTTCATCCAGAAACTCCAGACGAAGAGCCTTCGCTCAAAACGTCGAAATTCTCCTTATATAATTTCAGGTAGTTGTATTCCTACCAACGAAAGCTTGTTCATTTGATTGGCACTACCTACACTGACAAAGACAGTTCACGATTTAACCATAAGCTGCATCAAATCATCCCACAGAGAACACAAAACTGTGTCGTGTTTAAAATAAAGTATTAAATATATATTGGCTAAATTTACCTACGAAGACATGGGGCCAGTTGTTCAAAGCGGAGTTAGTGCTAACCCTCAGTTAAAATTTAATCTGCTATTCTAGTTTGTGTACTCCTGCACGTCTGTTTATTTCAAAACTTCAGAGATGTAAACTCATATCGATCCAGACAAGATTTCTGAAGAAACTTTTCCAAATTTATAAACAAGCTATGAGGAAGTTTGCTTTGAATTTTAGGTTAACCTAGGGTTAAGCTAACCCAGCTTTGAACAACTGGCCCATGGAGTCAAAAGAAAATGTCCGATCAAATTTGAAAGTGTCTCATCAAATTTCATTTTGGTCGGACATTTTTTCAGGACAATTTTTGAACATTATTTCAGGCTCTGCTGGGGATGCTAATCATCACTCGTCGCAGCTAAGTTCTCAATTGCTTCACAATCGTTTTTGAAATGAGGCGACTCTGAGTCTCTCCACACTTGTCAAGCAGAAAAGTTTGGTTGACTGTGGCGGGAATCGAACCCAATACCTTCGTCATTCAATTCTCACTGTGGTCAAACACCACAATCATTACATTCCTGCGCACAATGAAACTTACCATCCTTTAAGAAAGTGTCGACCATATACAGACATCTCACAAGACCTTGATATCCTTCGCCTATTTTACTACTTTCATCAATCAATCTTTGTACTGGGGCTTCTTCTCCGGTCGGAGAATGTTGCGCACCATCTTTCCCCGACCGGCTACTGTGTCTTCTCCTTCCGCTACGTCGACCACTGCGCAACCGCCTAAATGACCTTCGTAGAGATTCCTTAAATGTTCTCCGCCTTACTAATGTACCACCTTCTGAACCCATGTCTGCAAAGGAAAGTCAAGGTTGCTATCGTCAGATTGCTTCAGTCAGATACAAGAAGAGTACTTCCAATCTCACTTTACTAAACATGGTGAGTTCTCTACTGGTAATCCAATAAAAATAAATCGTTGTGGCATCAATATAGAGCGGCAAAAAGAGAATTGCCCTTACTGGACCTCTAGGGGGAACAGTTTAGAACTGTTAGAGCTATCCAGTATAAATAAAGTTAGTTTAGGTTTCCTTCTATGGTAACACTGGATCAATAAGAGATGACTCTTACTGGACCTCCAGTACTAAAGTTCAGTTTACGTTTCCTCCTGTTGTAACACTGGGATGAAGGTTGGCCATTTCTGGCAGAAAGAGCAGTTTAGAACTGATAGAGCTATCCAGTATAAAAATTACTATAGTTACAATAAAAGCTTCCTACTATTTTCCATCACTCACCGTCAGGACTCATCGTACATCTATGTGTTATTGGAACTTTCTGAACATAATCCAATAAAAAGAAACCATGTGTACTGCCCGCTGCAAGCCTACAGGAATGGGGTAAATTTTACATATAATATAGCAAGTAATATAAACACCACTCCATAATTAACCAATCAGCATGTTTGCACCTAATACACACTCAGTACTTACAATCCCCACTTGGTTTTCAAAGCAACAGCGGTGATACAGGATGCTGGCGTAATCTGAACTATCATGCTGGGTTTAAATCCTTTGCTGACTTTTATTGCTCCAGTTTTTGGCGTGAGTGGTCCAGGTCCTTTCCAGTTGAAGTATTCATACTCTTTCACAAGGTTGATATCAATCAACTACATAAAGAGAGTCATAGCAATTTATAATCTATTTCATTCATACACGTAATCTTTTCCGGGCAGTTCGTACACAAAAAATGGAAGCTTATCATTCTTAAGCCTGGTTCACATATATGCCTTGGACGTGCCTGTGACGTACCGGCGACGATGCCGGTGGTAGCCTAAAACGTAAATTATGTGAACATTTGTTCGCCGATTGCCTCCAGTGCCAGTTACATCGGCGGTAGGCCGGGAAAGTTGACTTGGGTTCAACTTTGCCGGTATTTCGGCGGCAAGTAGAGGCATAATGATACAGTCGCAGGCATACCGCAGGCATATGTGAACCAGGCTTTACACACGTAAATATCTTGTATGCTATGCAAGCCTAATCGGCCTAAGAACGACATAAAGAGAGTCATCGCAATTTATAATCTATTTCATTCATACACGTAATCTTTTCCGGGCAGTTCGTACACAAAAAATGGAAGCTTACCATTCTTAAGCCTGGTTCACATATATGCCTGCGACGTGCCTGCGACGTACCGGCGACGATGCCGGTGGTAGCCTAAAACGTAAATTATGTGAACATTTGTTCGCCGATTGCCTCCAGTGCCACAGTTACATCGGCGGTAGGTCGGGAAAGTTGACTTGGGTTCAACTTTGCCGGTATTTCGGCGGCAAGTAGAGGCATAATGAGACAGTCGCAGGCATACCGCAGGCATATGTGAACCAGGCTTTACACACGTAAATATCTTGTATGCTATGCAAGCCTAATCGGCCTAAGAACGACATAAAGAGAGTCATCGCAATTTATAATCTATTTCATTCATACACGTAATCTTTTCCGGGCAGTTCGTACACAAAAAATGGAAGCTTACCATTCTTAAGCCTGGTTCACATATATGCCTGCGACGTGCCTGCGACGTACCGGCGACGATGCCGGTGGTAGCCTAAAACGTAAATTATGTGAACATTTGTTCGCCGATTGCCTCCAGTGCCACAGTTACATCGGCGGTAGGTCGGGAAAGTTGACTTGGGTTCAACTTTGCCGGTATTTCGGCGGCAAGTAGAGGCATAATGAGACAGTCGCAGGCATACCGCAGGCATATGTGAACCAGGCTTTACACACGTAAATATCTTGTATGCTATGCAAGCCTAATCGGCCTAAGAACGAAGTCAAACCGGGAGTCATAGTATAATTTATAATAGATGTTTACATGAGACCAGGACGAAAACAACGAAAGGCCCATTTCCACTCAGGAAAATTTTCCGCAGAAAGAAAATTTTGTAAAATGTGATTGGCCGACACAAATTTTCCACAATTTTTTTACTTTTAACAATGATATTTTTGAAAAATTTTCTGTCAGTGGAAATTTTTCTTGAGTTGAAATTCCGCCTGCTGGACCAAGTAAATACCGTATTTACTCGATTGAGCGCCGCCCCCGAATGAGCGCCGCATTTGAGATCAAATTTTCTTAAAGAGCGCCGCCCCCGAATGAGCGCCGCACTAATTATTTTCAAATGCGGCGCTTAATCGAATCCCTTTCAATGCGACGAATTAACGTCTTCTGAAGTCGAGGAGGCATATCCAACAATGATTACGATGCAGCAGCTCGACTAGCCTGCTCGCAGACTATATGACATATATCATTATATAGTCTGCGCGCAGGCTACAGCTTGACTCGGATCATGAAGAGGACAGTGACATTGATATTTTGTAAACTTGTAAACAGTGTAAAAACTTTCCGTCGTCAAAATGGGGACATTTAGTGACAAAGACATTTAAAACTTGTTTATTTTATTGTTAAAAGTTCTTGTTATAATTCACAATTATAGCACCGCCCCCGAATGAGCGCCGCATCGGAAGCTCTGAAAGCTCTGAAAATTTAAAGAGCGACGCGACGCTCAAACGAGTAAATACGGTATGTATAAATGATTTCTTCCTCACCTGTATTTCAATATTTTTCTCCTCATTATTAATATCCAGTACAATGACCTGACCACCGTGACCGCCAACGACCAAAATTTTTTCTGCAGCATCGAAGTATATCTTCTGCACGCCCAAACGTTGGTCGTCACAGAATGGGTCATACAGACCGACCTTCCTGAGATGTGGCCAGCCTTCGTCTTCACCATCTATTTGTTCGGGAGGTTCGTGGTCACCAGAGAAAAATTTGGACGTCTGGACTGTGTAGAGCGGACTCATGTCTAATGATGAGACGTCCCAGAATCTCACCGAACCATCTTCATGGCTAGAACGAGAAAGGTATTTTGTTGATGACACATTTAATGTGCCGCTACGAAATTTTGGACGAGTTCTTATTAGCTTAATTATTAGCTTTATTAGGTATTAATTCTCCTGATTTGTTTGCTACAAACAAAATTTAATTCGATATCATGAAACAGATTTTATAGCCTTCCAAAGTTGCCTTTTTTGGCCCGAATTTCGCAACAGGGTATAGTAACAAAGCATCGGTTTTCCGGTACATCTACTGCCGTATTTACTACACAGATTTTTTTTATGGCTGAGCCATCTGTTTACTGTGTTTATGCACACAAACGAATTATCAAATGACCTATGATCCATCTCAAGTTTAAATTGGTCCAACACCAGCAGGAACAATAGCAAACAACACCACCAACATAATCATCAACAACAGCAGGACAAAAAAGTCAATAACATCAAGTTACCCAGTAAGTAAAATATCATGTTGGTTGCTTCTTGACAGCAAGGAACGTCCACCAGTAATTGGCCAATCCTAAGAAAAACAATTATAGACATTAGTATATCAAGGCCGGATTTTGGTGGAAATGCTGGGGGAGGTGGTAAACTGTTTAGGAGAGATGCAGCGATTCTAGCTCATGGCTCCCATGGAATGTTAGGACTTAGAATGTACCCCTGCCCCATAAAGTCAGCTACGTGATGTCTGCATGTATTCATGAATTACGACTGTACGACTCATCCAATTTTGCCATTCAATACATTACTACAAAGTTTCTTTCGTGAAACGTTGTTCCCTTACCATTCCCAAGGGGAGGTGTATGGCTTTTGAGGGGAGGTGCATAAAATCTCAGGGGAGGTGCAAAACGATCTCAGGGGAGATGCGCACCTCCTACCCAGAATCTGACCATGTAGTATATTACCAAAGCCAGGGGGGACAAGGTAGCTATAGAAGCCCTTACCTCGGGTGGATAGCTAGAGCCAAGTTGATCCTTGCCTGCTTCTTTTAACAAGTTCCATAAATCATCAGGACAGTTATGTACATGTTGGGAACATGTGATTGGCGAGGAGTGAAGGCAGGATAGATAGGGTGATGAGAAGGTTGGGTAACCATTCTCTTTCAATAAATCAATGACTACAAATTCATGTTCACATAAAACAGCCAGACATCTTGGTTTACCTAGAAATTTCAAATTTATCATTTGTCATGTTCATCAAGTACATGTGTAGCAAGATGACAAGCTTAATTTGGTACACAAATCTGTCAAGCTACAGTTGCCATTAGGGGTGTTATATTTTAACAAAGATGAGATTGAACAATTTGTCAACAAGTTGTGACTGACAACCTTGTAGCAACTTGATAAAACAACAGCATTGTTACAACTTGAAAATGCTGTGCTGAGTGGTTATATTACTACCTTAAAAAACAGGCAGAAACTCGACGTTTTGAGCGAAGGCAATTCGTCAAGAGTTAGTAGCAGGGATCGGGGGGAAATGCACAGGCTTTTATACTAAGAGTATGAAAGCATCACGTGACAAAAAATAAACCAATTAGATGGATTTAATCATAACAAAGCCCATGCATTTCCCCCCGATCCCTGCTACGAACTCTTGACGAAGGGCCTTCGCTCGAAACGTCGAGTTTCTGCTTGTTTTTTAAGGTAGTAATATAACCACTCAGCACTGCGTTTTCACATTGGTACTACCAACACTGGTACAGACAGTTTTAGTATACTGTTACAACTTGATGACAAGCTTGCTGCAAGCCTGTTGCAAATCATCTTGTTGACAAGTTGTGAGATTTTTACGTGTGTATGCTGGACCTCCACAATTGAAGTGGCCGATAAGATCTTAACACTTTCTTACTTTTATCATGTTTATCAAATATGATAAAGAAATCCACAACTCTTGAGGTGAAATCGAACGTCGCTTGTGTTGAATCGCCACATATTACAGAAATACAATGTCGGTCTCCGTAACTTGCCCTCGGCATACCACCACTGAATATTGTATACGGCTCAAACCAACAAACCTTACAAAAAAAACCATTTAAATAGAGTCAGAGAAAATAATAACTACAATGAAACATAGCTGAACACATTAGCACAATGCCATAACATTTGCAAGATGGCAGATTTTGTTTAGATATATATAAGTAATGTATATTTGGTGTTAAAATAGCTTTCAATGTCGTGTAAAATCTTTTTTGGCAATTCACTCAAAATTAATTATAGTTAGTTAGAAACTTTATAAAAGTATCATATCAATTAGGGTCATAATTCAAATAGAAAGTCTACTGTGTTTTTCAAAAGCCAGAAGTTCAGAACTCCGTTTTCAAATGCCAAAACTCACTAGTTTTCAAATACCAGAACTACTTTTTCAAAAGCCAAAACTGAGTTTTCGAATGCCAAAACTCAGTTTTCAAATACCAGAACTACTTTTTCAAAAGCCAAAACTGAGTTTTCGAATGCCAGAACTACCTTTTCAAAAGCCAGAACTCCGTTTTCAAATGCCAAAAATCAGTTTTCAAATACCATAACTACTTTTTCAAAAGTCAAAACTCAATTTTCAAATGCCAGAACTGCGTTTTCAAATGCCAAAACTGCGTTTTCAAATGCCAAAACTGAGTTTTCAAATGCCAGAACTACTTTTTCAAAATGCCAAAAACTCAGTTTTCAATTGCCAGATCTACCGTTTTGAAATGCCAGAAATCCGTTTTCAAATGCAAGAACTCCGTTTTCCAAAAGCCAGAACTCCCTTTTCAAACGCCAGAACTCCCTTTTCAAACGCCAGAACTCCCTTTTCAAACGCCAGAACTCCCTTTTCAAACGCCAGAACTCCGTTTTCAAATGCCGTAACTACTTTTTCAAACGCCAGAACTCCGTTTTCAAATGCCATAACTACTTTTTCAAATGCAAGAACTCCGTTTTCAAATGCCATAACTACTTTTTCAAATGCAAGAACTCCGTTTTCAAATGCCATAACTACTTTTTCAAATGCAAGAACTCCGTTTTC